GGCTATCATGGTCTATACAATATGGGCATAGAAGCTTTCTATTTAAACCTGGTAGGGATGGGTGTACCTTGAACTCCTGAATATGTTCCTCAACCAAGTTTGTCTTCTTCAGAACAACAACGGTTCTTCCAGACGTATCAAGATAGGTCTTTTCTACTTCATCCGACAGGCGTTCAACGTCAAAGGGACTTTCAAGTCTGATGTTGGTAACTGTTTCCGGGAGGACAACTCGCAGTGTCGCTTCGTCGATAACTTGGTCGTCATAAAGGTAGTCAAGAAATCGCATCTTCAGAGCGAATTTTTCGCCTAAAGACAAGAGATTAAAGATTTATCCATGGGATGGGCACATGCCGTTGTTGGAAGTCGAACCGGAATCGTACAATCTTACTTCGAAGTTAGTCACAAAAAAAAGCTGCACTAAGCATGTACATGAAGAAGCTCTGGAAAAAAAGCGCCTCTGGGGAACATGTGCGCGTTAACGCGTGTGAAATGTCCATGATGCTACAAAAGCATGCTCTTGGGACGTACCTATTCATTTAGCGATTATGAGTCACGACTTAACCGCGCAGTGCAACTGATCAAGTGCTTTTTGCCTGGTATTACGCTTACGGTGGCCCGGCGAACGTCACCCGACGGCCACATTATCCACTGATCGTAGTGGCTCCAAATTTCTCTGGACTGCCTGAGTAGACAAACTGCACTTCTCATTCACTGCCAGCCTGCCTGCCTTCCCTCCTAATAGCATTAACCAGGTTTCACCTAAGGTAGTGCTTGTTAGTGCGATTCCAAAGCCACAGTGGGGGTATCTATGCACGCCTAGGTACGATTTCAATCATGAATGAAAGGGAGACATTTGTCGGTCGCTAAGGCATCTCCGCCTTGGTTTTCAGTTAGGATGCTATACTTGGGTAGATACGACCGCTTACGGTAGACTTGTTGAAATCAACTGTTAATGCGGTTCCATCTGTACGCAGGCGCGGTGTTCTTTAATTACTTGCAATAGGAGACTGTTAGTGTTGGCCCTCTCTGATGAACGTTCACCCGACCGCTAACGGGACTCACTTGTCCCGCGCTGACTTTGGTCTCATTTCTCGGGCCCTGACAGCGGCCTTACAACAGCTGATAGTCTAGACAGAAAGTATTGC